CTTTCTTGGTTTGATGGCTCTTTTTTACTTTTACATGGCTGTGTGTATGTGACAGAGAGACAAACCAATCAGCTGAACTGGTAAATCTTCTAAGAAAGTTTTACACGGGCTTATCTTTTGGAAGCAAGAGACATACTATTGTTGCCTCTTTCATTAAGAAATACATAGTTACAAGCTTCTTGAGGGAGAATCTTCTGTTTTTAGTTTTCTCCATTACTAGTAATGTTTAATTAAGTGCTATTACTACAAAATGATTTGTATTATTACTACAGAATGATTCCCTCTAGTTACATTAAGGCTAACAATGGCTAAAGTCAAATGGTTCGGTTCTACAAATTATATATTAGATTTTTCTGCATAAGTAAACTATTTGGAATTTACTCTTTACACTGCACAGGTTGCAGCCATGGAGAGTTGGTGGAAATTAAGATACTCAGTTCAGGACAGACAGCTATCACTCTTAAGTCTTCTTAATTATAGTAACCTACAAGCTGTACAGATAAATTATTCTCTGTTCCTGTTTTTATATACAGATATATGGGACTGCATAGCAACCTGTTTCTTCATAGATACAGCACATAATGTCATTGATTACATTGATACAATATGGAAAATACTTAAACCGGGAGGAATATGGATCAATTTAGGTAATTTGTTATATCTTTTGAATTTAATAGAAAGGGCTGTAATATTTGTGCAATGTCATTTAAATGTGATGGGGTGGGAATTCCAGCTTGCTCTAAACCCTTTGAATTAAGAGCATTGTCAGTTTATATGTTACAGGTATTTGGCAGTCTTCTTTTATTTCAATTCATTTTGGGGGGAAAGAACCTTCAATATTTGATTACAATTCAAAGTAGATTGCCAGTAAGGATCTTACAAAACATTTTAGAACAACAAAATCTACCTTTAAATTGGAAGAAAATGCACAAACATGCTTCAGGCACTATCTACCTATATACTTACCCAGACCTTAAGATCATCTAATGAGGCCCTCCGCCAACTCCTTTCATGAGAGGAGGTAAGGTGGGAGGGAGAACTTCTATGGTGGCATCCCATTTACGGAATTCCTTCCCTGGAGAGGCTTGACTGGTGACCATACTAGCATCATTTCAGTACCAAGTGAAGACCTTTCTATTTTGCCAGGCTTTTTATATTCTTTATATTTACATTGTTTTAGTGTTTGACCACAGTGCAGCTGCCTTGTTTATATGGTGTTTTTATTTTGCATTTTATTTTATATGTTTTTATTCAGACTGAATTTTTTGGTGTGCTGTATTGTAAACTGCCTGAAGAGCTTCAGCTACTGGGCAGTTTTTTAAAAAAATTAATAAAATAAATTATTCAGAAGGATTTGATAAGATTATTGCTTTTTCTATGTGTTCTAGGTCCTCTTCTTTATCATTTTGAAAATTTAGCAAATGAATTATCTATTGAATTGAGCTATGAGGATATAAAAAATGTTATATTACAATATGGATTCCATATTGAGGTAAGAAATGTATTTTCACACACCAGTAATAATTTTAATATATAGTTCCTCATCCTCTTCATTTTCCATCACATGATTAGTTACTATGATAATAACAAAGTTACTAATTTGTCAATACTCAGCAATGAAGCTTAGGGGCAAAGTGCCCTTTGGGCAGAAATGAGAAATATTTCTTTTTTTCTTTCTTAAATCAGACCATTAAAACATGATTTTTGTATATTTAGAGCTGCCTAAATATGCAAAGGTATATATATGTACAGATTATGAGTTTAAACAAAAACAAAATGGCATAAGAGGTAAACTTCCAGGATAAATGGAACATGGAGGTGTTATTGGGGAGAAGGAGAGAGTAAAAGTTCAAGTTGGGTGTCAGTACTTGATCCCTAATTGTTTACAGACAGGTTCTAAAGGAAGAGAACTACAGCTGGGAAGGACACATAAGATCAAATCATTTTTCATCCTTTTTTTTTGTTGACAGATTTCAGTAGGTAGCATTATAATAGCATTTCATGTTTGAAATGAAATGCAGATAACTAAAGAACATATTGTTTATTTTTCAGGTGGAGAATGAATCTGTTTTGACAACATACACTGTGAATGAATTATCCATGATGAAATACTATTACGAATGTGTGATGTTTGTGGTTAGGAAACCAGAAAGCAGTATCTGAAACAGACTATCCAAAAGGAATGTTGCTGGCATTTTTCTTAATAATGTTAGCAGAACATGAAGTGGCCTATAAGGGATGATTGGACACAGCCTCTTATCAGTGGTGCCTTCTTATTCCTAACAGAATGTAACTCTCTTTATTTTCTTACTCTTTCCTTATGGTATCCAGACATGCACTTCTGCGTTACTTATATTTGGGTTATGAATATGGAGTTCAAATATCTATGTATTTTCTCTTTCAGTTTTATTTAATTGGTAATTTCTGAAAGATTGATATTTTAATACAGCATTACTGACATACATAATTCTCCATAATATACAGAAATATCTTCTACATTTGTCTGAAAGAAACACTACTGGATACAAAACTGGATTCCCCCTCCTCCCCCACATTGTATAGAAAACAAATACAAATTTCACTTAAAAGTCAGTATTTTGATGATTTTTCCAAAAGATTTTTTTTTTAATTTGATTTGCAAATTCTGCAAACAGCATCATGTGAATTTGGCTGTTTATATCTCAGAGCCTTAGAAAAAATAAGAACAGTTTGTAAAAACCTCACATTTGTCCTCAGAAGTATTTTTCATACAAAACTGATTGATACATGGAGCTGCAATCCATAATAATGTCGCTTTTGCCCATGCTATGTTAAGCATATGGATAAATAATTTGAAATACTGATATGTGGCAGCAACCACTATAAAGTTACTACTTGTCTAAATGAGACTAGTAAAGTTTGTAAAGTAATTTGTCACAAATCCCAAAATGAATGTTCTTAAGTATTCCTAAAAAATATTTAGAATTGATCCATAATTTTAAGACATTATTTTTTGATGGAATGGATTCATATGTAGCAAAACCAAATTCTGTCTACAATTCTTTTAAGACAGTGTTACTGGCAATTGTGCTGAACTGCCCCACATTGTGATATACTGTATGTATGAACAAACCGGATAATTATGTTTTGATAAATGTACTATCAGTCCTAGGTCTCATGATGTAACCTGTAGTCTGTTATAATTTTGCACTAATCACCCACATCCTTACTCTTTACTAGGCATAACATAAGCTTCTAGCTCTGTTTGGATTTATGCATCCTTCATTGCCATGAATTCTAGCTATTTAAGTATGCAAGTATGCAAGGTTTCTTTAAAATTAATCCTAGGTAAATCTGCTATGGAAATGAATATGCCATTTCAAAGATGTCAGGCACTCTTTTGTACACTGAATCTATCGACTTAGCTGGCAAATACAATCCAAAATGCTTCCAGTGAGTGGAGCTAAGAAGATATAATCTAGGGTACATGAATGGCTTTGGGATGCCAAATAATACAAGAGAGTCAAAATTTATGGTGTTTCATATGCTAGTAAGGCCTAGTTAACTATTATGTGTCCTTTTTCAAGTTTAAAGAAAATAATTCTTGTTTCCTACTGTGCTTTAACTAAAAATGGAAAGTATTGCTCTGTGAGCAAAGTTGTTAGCTATTTAAACTCAGAATTCAAATTTGCTTGTTAAGTTGCTTGGGTCTGTACAAACTGCAGAATATGAAGCCTTTGAACTTTTTTTTCCTTGACCTTTTAAGGAAAATTGAATTCCTCTATTAGAGCAAGCTGAACTTATTCTGTTATATCCCAGTAACATCTGTAGATACACATTCAAAGCAGGTTGCTTTCAGTGCAAACTTACCTGGAAGTAAGTTCCATTGACGTAAGTGGGACTCACTTCTCAGTGGGTATCGGATTTTTCTGTTAATATTTGCCTCCTCTCTTTGCTAAGTGTAGGAACAACACCTGTGGCTGCTTTTCAGTCCTAGAAAATGCTCTTTCACAACAAATTACTATTGTCTGGAACTACTTTGAAACTGTTGTATTTTATGCATCAGTGGTCAAATAATTTTACTGTACTTCAAGTTCTTAAATTCATCAGATTTATTTTTTACATTTTTTGTTAAAATTGCAAGCGTTAACCCTTTAGCTCTTTAAATGAACATGTTTTGTCTTTCCAATTTTTTTTCCACTCCCCATTCAAACTCCAGTTTTCATGTGAAGTATTTGTGTGTATATTTTGAAATTCAGCAATAACTAATTTTTGAGGAATATTAAGATTTTTTTCTTCTACATATACAATACTTTCAGAATATGAACATGGTAATAATTTCTGAAAATTAGGATTCACTCTCCAACACTGATTTGTAGACTTCATATTCTATATCTTACAATAGAACTAATCATGGATTAATCTTTGTTACTTCTTATATGTATGTTTGCATATTCCTTGTATATTTGCATACAACAGAAAATTATCTATTTTGGTCAAAGGAGGCTGGCAGTAGTGATCGTTTTATGGTCATGTGATATATAACATTTAAAGGTACATATACAGCCCCATTAAATGAAAGTAAATTAAAAAATGTAAAGTATTCTGTATTTCAAATAACGACTTTGCAACCATCTGTCTATATATTATTGCCACATTACTTCCAACTAATGTAGCAAGTAAAGTTTATTTTTCTTCTATTGGTCTGTGCTCCAGCTATGACCACTATTTTTCTGTTTTTTCTGTACTACTGACCTGGCTTTCCATTGTGTAAATTATCTCTGAATACCTTTTATCATCTTTTTATTAGCTGAAAATGACATACAGTGGTGCTTAAAGGTTTGTGAACCCTTTTGAATTTTCAATATTTCTGCATAAATAT